CCCTTCGATATGAGGCAAATAAGGCTTAACACTCAACTTCTGGACTAAGCAAACTAAAGATGCAAAAAAATAACTTTGGATTTGTATTAGTCACATCTTTGCCAGACGAATCATGAAATAATTCACATTGCAACATCCTTTCCCAACCCCACTTCTTGTTATCTTAACGCTGTTCACGGCATCCATTTTAATCCCCCCCTTATCATTTCTCACTTGAATTTTGTTGCTTCCCAAGATTAAAAAGTACATTTTCTTAAATATTCCAGGAGGAAACGATGCTGACAGAGGCTGATTACACAGATCACTGAAAAGATATCGGCGCCCAAACAATAAAGGTGAAATCAGTATTTAATTGCGTTAAATTGGATAAAATTAACGATTTCTTCTGCGAAAAAAATCGATGACCACGTCTCTAATATGTACCTGCTATTCGAGCCATTTCCTCCAATCGTTGTTTTGTCTAGACTAACCAATGGCATCGATCGACGTAGTTGTTGCCAATTCATCCCAACAATATCATTATTAGTGCGGTGCGCGATAGACTTACCTCCACGTGGTGCACCATGGGCAACGTATACTCATATGGCAAAAAAGTCTATAAACCGGCAGTTGACTTCTCACTTCAAACTACCATCACCCCACTGTATGTCATATTCCACCACTTCCACAGTACTCATCTCACCTTTTCTCTGCCTTTGTGTCTGTCTGTCTCTTTCACATCTGTTAATCATTATTCTGTCCCTACTCTCGACTTTTTGTCACTTTGATGTTCCTCCTCCTCTCTGTGAAGCCCGAAGTCAGCTAAATGGCTAATGATCACTATCAAAAAGCCTGCCATTTGAAATAAATATTAGGTTGAGCATAATTTTATTCGTATTTAGACGGCAAGAATCGTTCGCAAAACACATAATAACTTGGGAGACACATGACGTTAAGAGGTGAACGGTCAGTTGTTCGTTGCAAAACGAACTTTTATTTTCTGTATATGTGTGTGTGTGTACGTGTGTGCTTGAAGTTATTTATGTCTCATGATTAAAATAAATAATGTAAAATGAAGTAACAAAATAGGTATTCAGAATAATTGCAAAAATACCAGACTTACAGTCTAACTTGCTGAGGAATGGGAATTTGATCCAAATGCATATCCGCCGACAGCTCATTCAGTTCGTTGATAAAGTTGATCTTCTGACCGAATTTTCGACTACAAGACATTAATAAATGGATCGATATTTCAACAGTCTTCAGAAAATAGAATGAAGCATGAAGGAAAAATCAAACCAACAATATGTTAATAATTATTATTCATAAAATTAGCATAAATTGGGGTTGCTGCCTTGGATCATTTTGGAGTAATGACTTGTGGGAATCGCAAAAAAAGCAGAAACGATCGATTCTTTTCTACCTACCTTATGATTGGCCTAAAGAACTTGATGATGAATAGAACCAGCGGGGTTGGATGGACGATATAGAGGGCTTTGAGATTCTTTTTGAAGTTGCGATCGAAACCTCGGTAAGCCTGCATCAACCATCTTAGTGGTGGCTTCTTGGTGTTTGTCAGGCCATAGTGGAAGTATACCAGAGAGTAGTCGTTTGCCACATATTGCTCCAAAGTCTTTCTGATGTAACTTAAGGCAAAAAACAAACAAGTAAATAATCGAAAACCTGCATAAGGTGAGAAAATGAAAAGCCTCCATTTATAATTTCATTACAATTCGAAGTCAAATCACTGTGATCACTGTGGCATTAAAGGCAATGAGCTTGCTGACACACTTGCTAAGAAGGGGACAACGATTTTGTAAGGCATGGACCGCCCGATGTCTTTCCACACAATGAAGGCCTTAATCAGGAGAGAATTCAAGACCTCCAGGTTCATCGAACTTAAAGCTCGAACAAAGGAGAAACAATGGACAGTGACACTCTCCGACATAGCCGAATGGCCAAGAATCGAAGCCGTTGCTGAGTTAAGACTTCGTACTGGACACGATTGCCTGACAAAACACCTTCACAGATTGGGAGTATACACTCAACCCACATGCCCCCTATGTGATCTACAGGAGGAAATGGGAAGACCCACCTGATTCGGTGTCCAGCTCTAAAGACAACG